CAAAGATGCCAATGTCAATAATGCAGCATATTATGAGTAGGGATATACAGGTAAGCCTGTTTACCGACGACAATGCTGTGTATTTGTATCAGTGTGCGTGATTTGGTTGATTATTGGTCATCAATCTTACGTAATGAGGGTACCGTGGACCTTTGATATTTCTTGGTGAGAAACTATTTCTCAGATGAGATTGTAATATAACAATGTTACCTTCGAATAGCTTATCGATTTGACTTGACACTGTAACTGTTTAGAAAGTCGCTCACTCATTCGAAATAGTAGAAACAAAATAATTCTAATCAAGTGATACATCTGACATGACAAGCCCATTGTATTTTCTCTGACCCATCAATCCACTTTTGTAGATTATTCACTATACTTTTTTTTAATTACCATTCTTCTTTTTTTTGTAGATTCCCATCCTTCTATCTTAGTGTATTTACAATCACTCTCCCGTTTGTAAAATACCCATCCTTCTCTCTTTGTAGATTACCCATCATTCTCTTTTTTAAATTACCCACCAGTCTCCTGTTGTTGATTAACCATCATTCTATCTTTGTGGATTACCGAACATTGTCTCTATTGTAGATTACCCATTATTCTTTTTTCGTAGGCTACCGTTCTTCCAATGTCGATCACCCATCATTCTCTCTTTGTACATTTATCCATCATTTTTGTTTTGGAAAATACCCAACATTACCTCCTTGTAGATATTATTCGTCATTTGTAGACTACCCATCATTCTCTTTTTGTAGTTTACCCATCATTCTCTTTTTGTAGTTTACCCATCATTCTCTTTTTGTAGTTTACCCATCATTCTCTTTTTGTAGTTTACCCATCATTCTCATTTTGTAGTTTACCCATCATTCTCTTTTTGTTGATTACCCATCATTCTCTCTTTGTAGATACCGATAATTTTCTCTTTGTAGATTACCCATCATTCTCTTTTTGTTGATTACCCATCATTCTCTCTTTGTAGATTACCCATCATTTTCTTTTTGTTGATTACCCATCATTCTCTCTTTGTAGAT